CGTGAGTGAGGGGAGGGGGGGGGGAGGAAAAAGGGAGGGGGATGGTGGCTGATGGATGCCCCGATGCAGCTCCGGGGGAACGGGTTGGGGACAGGATAGAGGAGGGGAATAAGGGTGCTAGTCAGGAGTTCGAGACAAGAACTGGTGACAGCAGTAAAGAGGAGGGGACAACACAGTGCTACAAAGAAAATTAAATTAAAGCAAACTTGAGCTTACGAATAAAAATAAAAAAAAAAAGCAAAATTAAAGGATCGGAACCATTCAATACAAGCAAAAAAAAAAAAAGCGAAGGCAAAAAATCGAGCTTATGCGAGTGGAAACTGTCCTGCAAAAACTTGTCGTCAGTAAAGGGTTTCCCTATTTATAAGACTGATGCTTAGCTGAAGCTGAGAGCGAATTGGCTCGACTAGATTTACACAATAATTCCGCACAATTTCAATGTGCTGCCTTCGGTAGCCTGCGATTGTGCAAACGCTTATGCCTTTGTTATGCGCTTTTTGCATCTATGCAATGCAAATAATTGGCCAGCGCACCGACTGCCAGTGCGAAGATGCGTTTTTTGCATAGATCCCCGCAGGTTTTTGTTAGTAACGGCAACGGTTTTTCCAGCAAATGCTTCTAGCTAAACGAATTGAGACTGACCGCCAGGACTGTCAGGAAACTTTCTTCATTCCCGAGTTAGCAACTTGCCCGCCAAAAATTTTCACTGGCCCGTACGTGAGAATCACGCGTGATTGGGAGCAGAGCTTGAAGTCACCAAGCTCTACGTAGACCAAGAACATCCCCTAAAAATCCCAGTATTCTAGTTTTTCAGATGCCCGAATTAGCAAATTACCCACAGAAACTTTCATGAGCCTGTACGTGGGAACCACGCATATCCGAGAATTGGGTTTGAACTCAATAAGACCTACGTGAACAAGAAACTCCCCCTTAAAACCTCAGCTAGTTTTTTTGATCCCCGGGTTAGCAGCTTACCCGTCAAAAACTTTGGCAGGCTCGTACGTGGGCACCACGCAAGAGCACCCATTTTGGAGATGGGGCACATGAATGTAAATCAAGATCCCAAAGTTCCAGCCCTGTACGTTTCGTAGGTCTCGAGACGAAAAATTGGTACAGACACACATACGCACACGGTAACAACTCCTCGTCAATATGCGTTTTCTGCATTGCATAGCTGCAAAAAACGCATATTGTCGAGGGGCTGTTTGTGTGTGTGTGTGTGTGTGTGTGTGTATGTGTGCCTGTGTGTCTGTCTGTACCGATTTTCCATCTCGAAACCTATAAGGGCTACAGGACTGAAACTCTGGAAACTTAATCTATATGCATGCACGGCCTCCAATCCCCAAAATAGGTGCTTTTATCCGCACGATTTCTGCGTATGGGCCCGTCAAAGTTTTTGGCAGGTAAGTGGCTAACTCGGGAACAAAAAGCTAGAAGATTGGAACTTTAATGGGATGTTCCAAGTCCATGTAAATCTTAATGAATTCAAACTCAGCCCCTGACTGTGCATGGCTTCCAAATACGGGCCCGTGAAGGTTTTTTGCGGGTAAGTGGCTAACACGGAACAAAGGCTGGAACGCACCAGGCGAGCCGGTGCGATCATGCGTTTTTGCATCAAAACTAAAGT